CCCCCAGCGGCCGCCCAGCACTGGCAGTGCGGGTAGGTAGTGACGGCTGTGCTGGTAACTCTTTATCAAAAAGGGTAAAAAAAAACACAAAAAAAACACCAAATTGCTACCCTAAGCAGTTCTTAATGCTGCTGCTCTTACTTTTATTGTTTTAATAAACAGTAACTGGCTTTCTTTTAAAGTATTTTTAAAAATATACTGTTATTGACCTCAGAGAAGAAGGGAGAGGGAGGGAGAGAGAGAAACATCAATGATGAGAATCATGGATCGGCTGCCTCCTGTACACCCCCTACTGGGGATCGAGCCAGGTATCTGCCCTGAGCAGGAATCAAACCTCGGCCTCCTGGTTCATAGGTCGATGCTTAACCCCTGAGCCATGCCGGCCGGGCTCAAGTATTTCTTGACGATCTGCTGTGGCTCTGGCACTGCGTCAGGTCCAGGGGAGCAGTATATCCCACCCGCCACCGTCAGCCTTCCTCATGGGACAGCCATGCTTGGACGGGCAGGACATCGTAAGCAGAGATTCAAAGTTGTCTGGGCCATTCATGTTGAAAATGGCGGAACGGACTTACCTGACTGGAGTTGGTGCTTTTGCATCTCTCCCTGCCCGAATGTGTTCATTACTCAGCAGGATCCGCGGTGCACTGACGGCCTCCCTCAGTGGATGCGCGCCTCCCCGTGCCTGGTCGGTAGCGCTCCCTGAGCACTGCTCACCCAGCAGGCACACGCAGGGCCCGGCAGCGAGCTCGTGTGCAGGGCGGGCAGAGCAGGCCGGCAGCTGCGAGTGTGCGGCACAGTTTACCTCGCATTATTATTGATTAATGTATTATTTATATTGTGCTTGTATTATGGTTATTGTTATTTTTATCCTTACTTATGAGTTACCGTTTAGGGAGTGATGGCCTGTAACTTAACCTATGTACGTTACCCGTCAATGCCAAGTTCAGACTGGCCTGGTGTTCCTTAGGCGTGGAGCGAGGTCACCTCCGTGCACTTCCTTCATATGCTGATAAGGAGGCCGGTTCCTATTCACCCCTTGTCCTCTCTCCCTCCCAGGTGGGATGCTGAGCTCGTCGGACCTCACGGTGCCCAATGGAGCTGGGAGCAGCCCCGTCGGTGAGTGGATCCTGTGCTTGCGTTTTGTAGGCACCTGCCGGCCGTGGTGAAGGGAACGGTCCCTCCCACGGGCTCTGCCGATGAGGGAAGGGGTGGTGGCATTCCCTTGTAGACTGGTTTTTCCATGAGGGCACCTCTTCCTCTGCCTCACATGCTTCCTGGTAACTCCCCGCTTTATTCCTCACACCTTGGCCTGGAGTTCAGTTACTCAGTTACTTGTGGAGAGCCCCCTCCCATCAGGCATCATTCTTTTCTAAAGTCTAAGTCGCCACAGTACAACTTTTACATCAACACTGTTAAGGAGAAGCTTTCTGTAGCATCTCTTCTCCCAAAATTAGACTAACAGACCACTTATCACCTGACAGCGGGAGATGTGGGCAGGGAGCTGCGGGGAGGCAATGGCGGCTGCTTCAGGCACAGAGAAGCGAGCAGCGGGTCCACGGGCGCTGGTGGTCACGGCAGGACACTCACATGGTGGCGTGGTCGCTGGTTTCTCACTTAGGGACCCTCCCAAGAGGACTTAAACCCTTAAACCCTTGTCACAGTGTGTCCGCCCGGCCCAGGAGGCTGGTGAAGAGAGACTGTGACCTTACCATGACAGCACGGCACGTGTGCCCGAGTTCCAAGGACAGCTGTATGCCTCTGGGTTGCCGTCCTACTACGGCATGGCTCTCAACCTTCTGGCCCTTTAAATACAGGGCCTCATGTTGTGACCCAACTAAAATTATTTTTTCGTGGCTACTTCATAACTGTAATGTTGCTACTGTGATGAATCGTCATGTAAATATCTGATATGCAGGATGGGCTTAGGCGACCCCTGGGAAAGGGTCGTTCGACCGCCAAAGGGGTCGCGACCCACAGGTTGAGAACCGCTGTACTGAGGCATCCTGGTCTCCGATCTGTGGTTACCGTCCTAGTGACCTGAGAGGAAAAGCCTTAGCACTGCTGTGGGCCCGGGAGGCTTCTAGGGACAGTCCCCATGCCTCCCACTCATTCCCACAAACGGAACCAGCTTCTCCTCAAGTAAACGATGAGATGCTGAATAACTTGATTTACGCTGAAGAGAAATAAACAGGCTCATTAGTAAGACAAGCTACAAACATAGCGACCTGACGTCGGAACAAATGCCCAGTTACATCTGCCACCGTGTTAAGTGCCATTTAACCGGAATTAAACAGGTAAGACCGGTTGTAGGATCTGTTTGAATAGATAATTAATGTGCAAAAATTCATAAAGGCCTCACCAATTATCCGTCAGGGCTCTCGCACTTGGATGTGTCTTTCCAAATATTTACAGCTTTTCATCTCTGTGTGGCTGTGTGCACGTCAGTGTTTCATCTGCGCTTTCATCCCTCCCCCAACCCCCCCGTTCATCTTGCTCTCCCTTTACCTCCAGCTGCCTGAGGCTGGAGCAGCCATTCCCACTGCATTCAATGTTCCCTTTACTGGGTGGGTCTTGTTTTCTTTGTTGTAGTTTTTGTAAATATATTTTTATTGATTTCAGAGAGGAATGGGGCACCTAGGAGCATCTCCCGTCCCCGTCTCCCTCCCGTCCCCTGCGCTCTCCCATCCCTTTCTCTCTCCTACCTGGACCCCCGGGTACCAGCCGCCCTGTCCAGCCGAACAGCCTCATAGCGTCCACAGGGGAAGAGGAACTAGTGCTTCTTGATAACGTTCTTCTGAATCACCTCTTTGTATCACCTTCTGATGTTTGAGAGGACTTGACCCTTCAGATTGGAGTGCACAGCAAGGAAATAAGCATCTCCCAAGTGCGATCAGAGACTGAGAAAAGACATCGTGCCCTTACTTCGTGAAGGAAAGGCTGCTGAGCTCACTGTTCATGTTAACCCGGCATTCTGTTGGTTCCTAGTAACCCGTCCTGTCTGTGACCGAAAGGATTTGATAGGTGTTTCCTACCCAGATGCCTTGCTTGGCGGTTGTCTCTGCCTGACTCACAGCCGAGCTCTGCCCGCTGGGGTGGCTGAGGGAGACTTTTCCTACCAGCCCTGCTTCTGAAGCCACAGAGGCAGGAAACGGCTCGCTGGGTGTGGAGAGGAGCGGTGGCCGGGGTCCAGTATGTCCCCCTCAGGGTGAGGGGAGCAGGCCGCAGGGGACAGCCTCTGAGGCTCCCCGAAACCCACAGCAGGCGAAGTCGCACAGACACTGCGGCTGGGGCCACGAGGCCGAGTTCTGGAGAAGCCAGAGGCCCGGGTTGGGGTGCGAGTGGGGGCGGGAGGAGCCCTGACGTCCTGAGTGACAGCTGGAGGAGATGCTCCAGTCCTCGCGCCAGCTCACCGCCCGCTTTGCTCGTCCCTTAGGAACAGGCTGGTTCAGAGCCAACGAAGCGGATTCCGTCCTGTTGGCAAAACATCGCTTTTTAGTGTCTCATAAATAAGTAACATGGCTTTCTCAAGCTCTATGTTATAAGCAGATGTATTGAAGCGCCCGTTTTCTTCGATTTGCCTTCAAGAACTTACTCCATCTCTTTCTAGTCATATATATGTTTAATTTCAGAACTGATGTAGCCATTTGTCAGTTGACCCCATTCCTTACATACTGTTCCTGAAATGTTTCATGAACAGCCAGACGCTCTATACGTTTTAAGCGGCTATAAATAATATTTCTATTTCACACAAGAAGCGCTGATGAAATTAAAGCGGTCCCATCACCAGCTCCCCAGCTCTTGGGTGAGACACACGTGCAGCCGCATGGGTGTTTGTCACTAACTCACTGCCGCGCTCGGGGGCTGTCGCTGCCTTTCTCAGGGTGCTCTCGGGCGAGAGGAGGGTTCGGGCCGTGTCAGCACGTAGCAGACACTGAGGTGCTGGTCCTCGCAGGTCTCCCCATAGGTGCGTGTGCGTGTGCACTTATCTGTGGTGGATTGTAAAGTTGTCTGTCTTGCTCTCTGCTGGAGGGAAGGAGCAGAGCAAACACAGCTGCCGTTTCCTGTGATGGTCATGGAGCAGCCGTGGACTCCGCTATCTGTCCCTTCCGTCCCCACCTTTTCCCCGACGCCTGCCTTCTGTCACTCACTGTCCGTGCAGCCTGCGCGGAGCCATTCCCACAGCCCCAGGCCTGCACGGGCCTAGCTGTCTGTCTCCTCCTAAGCTCCGTGCGCGCCCCTAGTGTGTGCTTCCGCCCTTATCTAAGTACAAAGCTGCGTGAAGACCATGTGGATTTCTTTCCTATACCCCCCCCTGCGTGTTCCACACATAATCGGGGTGTAAACGTTTACTTCCACATCGTGCAGGTAGCTCTGTGTGGGAGCTGAGATGTTGCTACAGTTGTGCCAACGCCAAGTCCAGCAGAGAATTGGGGGGCCGTTCAGCCTCCCAGGAACTTTGAGGTCACTGTTCCGAATGTTTTCTTTTTTGGTCAGCTTTGTGTGTGGTGTAAGCTGGCGTCTAGTTTAATGTTTTTGCATGTGTCTGTCCAGTTTTCCCAATACCACTCACCAAAAAGGCTGCCTTTACTCCATTGCGTGTTCTTGCCTCCTTTGTTATGGACTCATTGACCACCTAGGCCCGCACCTGTGGGGGGGTCTCTACTGTTCCATGCGCCCCCATGTCAGCTCTGATGCCAGTGCCATGCTGCTTGGATTCCTACAGCCTGGTATCCTAGTTGAGACCAGGTAGCGTGATACCTCTGCTGTGTTTTCTTTCTCAGGATTGCTGTCTATTCGTGGTCTTTTGTGGTTCCATGTACATTTTTGGAATATTTGTTCTAGTTTGTGAAATATAGTAGTACATTGAGCTTAAGCATTACATCTATGTCACACTTTGGTCAAGTTCCTCTGCTTATTTTAAAAATGTTCAAAGGTACACGGTGAGCTACTAATGAGTTTTCTTACAGAACTCATTTGAAATCAGAACTGGGGAAAGCTTGCTTCATATTCACACCCAAGTATGTGGATGACTGTTTATGTTAATGAGCGATATTTCTTTTTTCCAGGGAATGGCTTTGTAAACTCAAGAGCTTCTCCAAATTTAATTGGAACTACGGGTGCGAATAGCTTAGGCAAAGTTATGCCTACAAAGTCTCCCCCCCCTCCAGGTGGCGGCAATCTTGGCATGAACAGTCGAAAACCAGACCTTCGCGTCGTCATCCCTCCGTCCAGCAAGGGCATGATGCCTCCCCTGGTACGTCACTCTTCCCTTCAGTTTTGTTCTTTAGGACACGAATTCTACACACACTCGGTCTATATTTCCTTTTTTTAAAAAATATATTTTTAATTGATTTCAGAGAGGAAGGGGGGGGGGAGAAACATCAATAATGAGAATCATGGATTGGCTGCCTCCTGCACGCCCCCTACTGGGGATCAAGCCCGCAACCCGGGCACGTGCCCTGACGGGGACTGGAACCCTGAACTCCTGGTTCCTGGGTGGATGCTCAACCACTGAGCCATGCCAGCCGGGCTCGGTCTATATTTTCTTTAGGAATGTTCGTATTGCCCTAGAATCTAGACTTGTTCCTAATGATTATTTCTATGTGAAGTTAACATTTGAAGGAACAAGTCAATTTTAAGTGCACAGAGATCAGAGTATGGAGAACCAGGAAATAAACCTGCGTAATGGTGATTTAAATCAAAGCTCAATAGGGAGAGGTTATTTTTCTCTGTGGAGGGCCTCCTTTTAGTCACCTACTGTGCCTGCTTTTCTGTGAGGAAACACTATTATTTGTTAGAAAGTTTTACACGCCAAGGAAAGCTGTGGTGGAACAGGGAAGAATGCATAAAAACGTGAATGAGTTATTCTGCCAGTAAGTTTTTTTGTTTATTTCTTCTCAAAAAAACCCTTCCCATTTGAGTCTATGAAGAATACGGTCTCCCTGGCCCAGCCGCTGGCGGGGTCTGCAGTCCCAGCCTCGCTCACTTCTGAACCCTAGGTCCGGAAGCAGAGAGGGTGTCTGTCCCCCCGTCTCTGTAGAAAAGACGTTGTACGCGCAGGCTTTCCCACGATGCTCAGTGTGGCGGCTGCCTGCCAGCACCCAGATGTCCTCGGGGCTGGGTGGCTGCTGACGGCGCCCTCTGAGGCTTCGGAATGAGAGAGATCCTGCATCAGGGTCACTAGTGCGGGTGGGCGCCCACACGTCCCATCATCAGCTCATTCGCCCAGGAGCTGCCCTGGGCTGGTGGAGGGGAGGAAGCAGGCGGGGTTGGTGCGGAAGAGCCAGGGCCCAGAAGCAGAGTCCTAGAGCAAAGGAGGCTTTCCATCCAGATGCCACTGAGCCCCGCCGGCCGGCCGGAGCCCCTCAAACCCTGTGGCAGCAGCCTGTGCCCAGGTGCAGCCAGAAGGGTAGATGGAGTTGGGGAGACACGCCTTTGAATTTAACCCTGGGGAATTGACAGGCATCTTCCCAGGCGCCTGACGTCCACAAGCACAGACAATAAGTCACTTCCGGGTGCTGTCTGTAGGGTTTCCAGCACCCGCTCGCGCCCGCGTAACGTTTCCTAAAGAAAGACTTTCTCTCGAGTACCAGCCGCTTCTAACTCTCTTCTCCCTCTCTGTGCGAGCGCAGTCGGAGGAAGAGGAGTTGGAGCTGGTGAGTGGGGTGTCTGTTACAGCGACGTGAGAAGAGGTGGAAAGTACTAACTCTGATGTGTTTACAGCCAATGTTCCCTCTGCTGCACAGGTTTCTTTCTTGTTATCAAACACGATTGAAACACTGTGAATAACTAAACCAATCTACGGTGATAGGGTGTCTAGTTTATTTATAATTGTAAATCTCGGTCCATCTTGTTTGTTGGAGGGAACATTGGACTAAAACAATAGCTGTCCATGGTCAGGAGGCAGCTGTTACAGCTTTTAAGGAAAGATGCAAACACCGTGTATAGCTCCCCAAGTGCTCGCATATTTTTAGAAGATGACCTCACCTTCATAGTCCTAGTTCCTCAGATTGTAACACATGGCCGTGCGTTATTTATCTTTCTTTCAAGATGGTGACATCATCCTTGGTGAGGTCACCTTTTGCAGAGCTGGACTCACTCCCCTGTGCACGGAGCAGCCTGCACCACAAAGGGCTTCCCTGGGCGCCAACAGGGATGCCTGTCAGCGACTCCATGCAAATTTACTATTTTCCATCAGAAGGTTTTTCATTCTCAAAAAATGTAGCTATTAATACCCTTTTTTCCAAAACATGATTTCTATTTGCTTTTCGTCTAGAAAATAAGTTGGACTAAAAATAACTTTCAGTTGATGTTTCTTCTTTGAGAACTAAAACCCACACCTCATAGCAGTGCTCAGACGAATTCAGAGTCGGCTGCTAATGAGAGGACTTTCAGGGGAATGAAGTCTTGAAAATGTCTCGTTTTTAGCATGGACAGGGGTCAGAGTGCATGAAAGCATGGGAATGGCATCTGTTGGTTTTATTCACACACGTGTGTGTGTGTGTGTGGGGGGGTTGTGTGTGCATGCTGGCGTGTTTTGCACACTTTGTTTATTTTAAAACAAGAGCTCATTCTTTATTTAACTTGGTGATGGCTCTCGTCGATTTGGATGTGGTTTGTATTGGTTAACTTCCATACACCAGCCAGCTGTCATTGTATCGGATTGTATCATGTGCAGATGTGGACTATCTGCTGGGAAAAGACTTAGTGACACAGTAATGATTACCAAATGGAAGTTTACAATTCGAGATAAAATAATTTATATTAGATTAGATTTCACTGTTTACCCTTAAGTTGATGTCATGTGTCCTTGTGAATTACCCAGCAATACGTCGCCCTCTAGTGGTTCCGGAAGGCACAGCGCCAAGCGCCATCTGTTAGAATGTAGAGTTTGAACTGAGAATAGAATCCTGATGGCTCTGACCCAGAGTGAGGAAGGAGGTGTCCTGGGGCCAGGCCGAGACCCCGGTTCTAGCCCAGCTGTCCCTCCCGCCGGCTCCGGGGATGGCTCCGGACCCCGAGTCCTGCAGAACCTTGAGGGGTGGCTGGGACCACAGGTTCTGCTGCTTTTCGCAGAACTGCGTTCGGGGGAGGGAATGCTTCCCAGTGCTTGCGAGATGGTGGATCGGGACCAAACCCGGGCAGCGTACCCACATCCTGAATGCGTTTCCCACATTCTCTGCCCTAAGATGGCACAGGAAACACAAACGAGAAAGAGCCGAGATGTGGCTCCGGAGCCAGGGATCCCTTCCCCCAGGCTCACCTGCGCACAGACGACACTTGGAAAGTGGCGAGAGGAGCCCAGTCAGTCGGTCCCTCGTCCTCTCGGGCACTGACTGTGCCTTCACGGCTTGTCAGGGACAGGCCGGCACTGCTCCCCCGGAGGCCACAGAGCTGCGTGCTTTCTCTGCCCCCGCCACACGGAGTGTGGGCTGCTCGGACCCTCTGCCCCTGGCTTTTGGAAAGGTCCCTGTAGCCACAATGGCGAGAAGCGGCTGCCGCTCCTACACACGGGACAGGGACTGCCTCGCCCTGCCCTGCCTGCACGTCTGGTCCTGCTGATCCACTCCGTGCGGGCAGGACGCCTGGGGATGGGGCGCCAGCAGGCAGCTGCTCTGCGCATTCACAGCCCTGTCCGGGCCCCTTCTCCTGGAGCGATGCGTGTGCATCTGCTGTTAAACGTGGGCCCACGGGTGGGCGATGGGGGTGATGAGGGAGGGCACGCGTGTAGGAGGGCAGGGGCACATGGGAAATCTGTCCCCCCATTCCCTAAAACAGTCTTAATGTAAAAAATACATACACACCCTCCAGCTGCAGGACCCCAGGGAGGAGCCCGGCTGGGAAGTAGTTGGTCCTGTGCCCTGGACTTGTTCCCTGGACACAAGTGCCTGGCTGGCCGTGGCCTTTAAACCCACAGGCGTTTGTTTTGGGCGGCCTGGCAGCATCACTGATGCTCACACAGGGGCCGTCGCAGTGCTCAGGGCGTGGCTGACAGCCGTCGGTTCTGTATGAGGAAGGCGAGGGAGTGAATCATTGCTGCAAAAATACGCCCCTTAGCAGAAACGTTGAGATCTGCCCATTAGCATTCACCTGTAAGGCTTTCACATCGTCACTGCTGCAGGAAATGGCACATCCTACAGCTGAGACCTGGCACTTCTCAGGGGAATGTGCTTTGTAAAGGCTCAGCCTGCGCAGGTTCCTCGTAACGACACCTCCCTCTCTCCCCAGAGCGCCCAGCGGATCAGCAGCTCGCAGGCCTCCCAGCCCCTCGCCACCCCCGTGGTGTCCGTGACGACGCCCAGCCTGCCCCCGCAGGGGCTCGTGTACTCGGCCATGCCCACCGCCTACAACACGGGTAAGTGGCTCACGCCTTTGTTCTGTGACCCACGTGTGCTCCTGTGACTTCACACACATTCACGGACACACACGACTGCCAGCGTTTGAGACTCCCATTTGCATTGGAACACACCGCCCTCTAGGACATTACAGACCAGACAGGCCAGCGAGTGGCTTCCCAGTGACCTTGACCCACAGGCACAGCAGCTGTCGGAGGAGGGCCCGTCCCGCCCCCTTTCCTGCTGGCGACCAGCACAGCGTCCCGGCCCTGAATGAGCCGTTTCCCTCGCTCCCCGTTAACCTCCTTCGGGGGAGGCCTGTCCCTGCGGAACGGGAGGCAGGAGGCGGCACTCGCTCCCTCGTGCCTCCAGGACCCGCCAGCGGGCTCTGTGTGCGGCTGAGGGCAGAGCCAGCCAGGCCTCCGCCGGCGGCTTTCCTCCCTCCCTCCCTCCCTCCCTCCCTCCCCTCAGGCGTTAGGCCTTGTCTCCCAGTGCCCCTCGGGGGTGAGCGGCACATCCTAACACTGAGCGGTCAGCGGTGACCAGTTACTGAGCGTGTCCTGCGGGTTGGTCAGGGAAGAGGGTGTGGTTAGCGGGAACTTGGGGTCCAGGGGGAGAGAGAACAACACTGGAATGACCCCTGACAGGCGTGTTCAGGCTCCATCTCAGCTCTGGCCTGAGAGTGCGTGACCCGGGCCGGGAGGGCGCTGGGTGTTCGAGGCGAGACTGCGCGTCAGGGGTGGACAGGCCCCATGGGAGGTGCGGGCGTTGCCTGGAGCGCACTGGGAGCCGCGGGGCTTTCAGCAGGGAGGGTCCTAGTTGTGGCTGCAGTTGCGTAGGGGCAGGGGGAGCAAGGCCCCGTGGGCCGGCGCAGTGGCGGGGACACAGCTAGAAACGAGTGGACGTGGGGGAGAGGTATTGGGGTGACACCCCAGGTTGTGGGCCGAGCGGCGAGGCGAAGGCTGCTACGATGAGCAGAGGAGCAGGTGTGGAGGAGGAGAGGCGGTGTGTGGAGACATCCCAGCGCACAAGTCAAGGAGGTGGTTGGAAGGCTTGGCAGTCAGAGGTGAAGAGATAGTTGTGGGCTTTGAGGGTCACTGTGGAAGGCATCAGCGTGACGGGCCCCCACCCCCACTTCTGTGGGGCCGGGTGAGGCGCTCTCAGGGAACACAGGACAGTACAAGAGAGAATCCTGTTTCGACTCGGCTGCTTTTGGCTTAATTTTATTTTTCAGTTACAGTTGACATTCAACATTGTTTTGTATTGGGTTCAGGTGGACAGCATTGTGGTTACACAGACACTTTACAAACTGGTCCCCTGATATTTCCAATCCCCTCCCTGAGCGTCAGGATTACATTACAGACCCCATTCCCTGTGCACGTTCCCATGGCTGCTCTGTGACTGCCTTTTCTCTTCTCCACCCTTCACCCTCCCACCCAGTCCCCACACCTCCCCTGTCTCTGCATCTGTGAATCTTATTTATTTTGCTCCTCAGATTCCACATACAAGTGACCTCACATGTCATTTCTCTACCTTCACTTAGCACAGTCCCCGCCTGGCCCCCAGGCCGTCACTGAGGTAGACGCCCTCCTGCAGGGCGAGGGGTGCTCACTGTGGATGTGCCCCAGCCCGTCCATCCCCTCCCCACCGATGGCACCGGGGCTGCTGCACGTGCTGCAGGGAACAGGCGTGTTTTTCTCTTGAATGTGTGTTATTTGTTCAGATATGAGCCTGGGTGTGGACTTGCTGGGTCACAGGCGGGGTCATTCATTTTTTGAGGAAAGTCCACAGTTTCCCACAGTGGCTGCGCCGTCTGCCTTCCCACCGGCAGTCACGAGGGCTCCCTTCTCCGCACCCTCCGGCGCTTGTTGGTGGACGGAGCGATGGCAGCCGTTCTGACGGGTGAGGCGGCACCTCGTGTGGTTCTGATCTGCCTCTCGGGTGGTCAGTGATGCCCGTGGCAGCTGCATGTCCTCTTTGGAGAAGAGGCTCATCCAGGTCCTCGGGCCATTTTCAGTCGGAATGTCTGCTTCCCGCCTGAGGGGATCTGTCAGGGAAACATCGCTGAGAGAATCGTCAGGTTTTACCCCGTTCTCTCCTGGAGTCTTACGTTCCGAGCCTGACATTTCAGTCTTCATCCATGAGTTTATTCACTCTGTCGGGTAGCGGGGGGCCTTGCCGTGCCCGTCTTTCCCAGCGTCAGCTCCTGCCGCCTGCCCACTGTCGCTGGTGTACAGCGTGGCTGCCTCCTGGGCGCTCTGCTGTCCCTCTGGTGGGTGTCTGTACGTCAGCCCGCGGGAGATTGATGCCAGGCCACACCTCCCACTTCGTTCTTCTTTCCCATGATCCCTGGGTCACTCAGGGCCTCCCGAGGTTCCACACACACTTCTGGATTCTTCGGTCTCGTTCTGTGAAAACACCTTCAGCTGCTTTTTAAAAAATGGTAACTTGGTGGGAAGACCAACTTCTTTCAACGCCCCTGGAAACGTGAGAAAGTTAAAAGTAGAAGAGCTTTTGGCACCTCTCGTTTAGAACTAGATGGGAAGCCGAGTGCTAATGAGGAACGAATCACTGAGTGAGCGCGTGTCCGGCCTTGGCCGCAGTGGTGGTGACTGACGCAGGCATAGGGGCGACCTGCACTGTCATCGGGGCCGTTTCCTCGTGAACTTGGACACAGGTTGCCTGCCATCGAGCAGGACGGCCGTCCCTGTAGCAAATGGAGTGAGTTGTGCAGTGACGCGTGGACTGTCCAGGGCACGGAGCTTGGCACCGGAGAAGGCGCTGTCGTCTCTGGGACGTGCTGACAGGGACCGAGTCTGCAGGAGCTGGAGGGAGTGTGTGTGTTTAGGATGCTAGTGTGTGTGGTGGGGGAGATAGTATTTAAAATAAGTTGCCTAGCAACAGCCTTGGGCGATGGCCTTTGTATTATTTATAATTTCACAAAAAGTTGAGATACTTGTAACCTGTGAACGTTTGGCACAACATTGAAACTGAGTTTACTGACCTGACCCCGGACCGTGGAAGAGAGCGAGGTTCGGTCTCGTTCTGTGAAAACACCTTCAGCTGCTTTTTAAAAAATGGTAACTTGGTGGGAAGACCAACTTCTTTCAACGCCCCTGGAAACGTGAGAAAGTTAAAAGTAGAAGAGCTTTTGGCACCTCTCGTTTAGAACTAGATGGGAAGCCGAGTGCTAATGAGGAACGAATCACTGAGTGAGCGCGTGTCCGGCCTTGGCCGCAGTGGTGGTGACTGACGCAGGCATAGGGGCGACCTGCACTGTCATCGGGGCCGTTTCCTCGTGAACTTGGACACAGGTTGCCTGCCATCGAGCAGGACGGCCGTCCCTGTAGCAAATGGAGTGAGTTGTGCAGTGACGCGTGGACTGTCCAGGGCACGGAGCTTGGCACCGGAGAAGGCGCTGTCGTCTCTGGGACGTGCTGACAGGGACCGAGTCTGCAGGAGCTGGAGGGAGTGTGTGTGTTTAGGATGCTAGTGTGTGTGGTGGGGGAGATAGTATTTAAAATAAGTTGCCTAGCAACAGCCTTGGGCGATGGCCTTTGTATTATTTATAATTTCACAAAAAGTTGAGATACTTGTAACCTGTGAACGTTTGGCACAACATTGAAACTGAGTTTACTGACCTGACCCCGGACCGTGGAAGAGAGCGAGGCCTGTGAGCGCCCCCAATGTCACTCACGCTGGGACCTGCCTGGGCCGCCCTCTCTTGCAGATTACTCGCTGACCAGCGCGGACCTGTCGGCCCTGCAGGGCTTCAACTCGCCGGGCATGCTGTCGCTGGGCCCGGTGTCCGCCTGGCAGCAGCACCACCTGGGCCAGGCCGCCCTCAGCTCCCTGGTGTGAGTACCGCCGGCCCGGGCTCGGCTCCCTTCTCTCAGGTCTGGCTCTGCGGACGTCCCCCGACTCCCACGACGACGAGGACCGGTCCTCGTGTCCTGGGCAGCGGTGCTGTCCCCCTGCTCCCTGGCTCCGTCCTCCTCCCTCCAGTGTCCAGGTGGCCAAGCGTGTGGAGGAAACCTTGTTTGCAGGCTCTACATGAGCTTGGAGGTTGAGCGCACGAGGGGTTCCTTGAGGTTCAGGCAGCCAGGCTGGGATGGACGCACGGGGCACACGCTCAGGATCTAGGGGGACGGGGTGCAGATGGCACCACACGCACACCCACCTCCCGTGTCTGACGCCCCTGTTCGAAGAGAGGCAGCTTGACCATCCTGAGGCCCCCTGGCCACACCCTCCCTCCACCACAGACGCCTGGAAAAGGAGCTGTGCCCTGGGCTCGCTCGGCTCCCAGGGGAGGGCGAGAGGGTGGGTGTCAGGCAGAGCCAGCCCGCTGCACGCCTGCCCCCCAGGAAGTGCTCACCGAGAGAACCTGCTCACGGGCAGGTGTGGGCAGCGGGAGCTTCCAGCTGTGAGGACAGACACGGTTACCCTGTGATTCCCACGCAAGCAACTCCTCACCCACTCTCGCCCGCCTGCAAGTGAAGAGGGGACAGTGGGACCAGACACCAGCACAGCAGGAACAGAAGCAGGAGGCCGGGGAGCAGCTGGGACAGCGTAGCAGACCCCCCACCTCCCTGCGTCCCTCCTGCAGCGGCCCTCGGTGACCCTGTGGGAAGTGGGTCTTGGACAGGGCCCTCGGCCTGTGCTCTGCCTCCCGGAGGGACACCCTAAGAATAGCCCTGTGGAGGGGGGGCAGGCTTACCTTCCTGAGGCTGCTGCTCACGTGGGGAGGGGGGCGGGCTGCCTTCAGCTGCTGTGAGCACAGCCTGTCCCCGAGCAGAGCCGGAG